TATGCTCGTGCTCGAGGTCGAGACTGCGCTGCCTGCTCTCCGCAGACAACTTCCACCGCGCAGCGCACAGCGCTTCCTCCTCACGACTCCGGCTGCGCCCGAGCCCCGAGGTCCAGTCCGCCCTGCTTCCTGCCCGAGCCCCACGACTTCGCCGGTCGCCGCCGCCGCTTTGTCGTTTTGGTTATGGGGTTTCATTTTTTTTCTTTTTGAGGGCTAGGTTTCCAGTCATGTGAGACCTCCGTCCAGCTCCGGGAGACCACAAGAGAAGGAGGTGAACTGATATATGGGCCGGATAATTGCCTATTGCGCTTTAGAAATAGATGGGCTGCTTCACCGATACAGCAGGGATTGCATTACTATCATAAAAAAAGTTGCTAAAAAAATACTATCCTAAAAAAAAAGCAGACATTGCATCGGTGGCAAATCCTAAACGGCGCGCGCCCGTTTCTTCAGGATTCTCAAACGGGTGCACACCCTCCGCTGTGCTGGACCGGCCCGTTCGACCTTTTTTTTTTTAAAAAAAAAGGCAAAGTTTGTCATTCGAACTGTGTGGTCGCCAGGTCTAGTGTCCGCTGCAAAAACCAACTCTCCACCTACCTGATGTGGTCCCTTTACAGCGTTTTACTTCTTTCCTTTTTCTTTTTTCTTGGAACAGTTTTCTTCGGTTTTTCTTTTTCTTTTTTTCTTCAAATGGTTTTCTTCTGTTTTACTATTTTTAGTTTTCCTTCTTTTATTTGGTTTTATTTTAATCTTTTACTAAATCTGTGAACTTTTTAAAAATTGTTGATTTTTTTCAAATTGATGATAATTTTCCTATGTATATTAATTTTTTTTAAAAATGTGATTTTTTTACAAAATCAATGAACTTTTTTTAAAATGGATGAACTTTCTTTTTCAAAATCAATGATTTTTGTCAAATTTGTGCATTTTTTCAAATTGTATAAACTATTTTCAATCTCAAGGATTTTTTTTCAATTTTGATGAACTTTTTAAAATCGGTGAACTTTTTCATTTTTCTTCACTTTTTTATAAATTCATGAAGTATTTTTTCAAGTCCGTGAAATTTTCTGAACTCACAAATTTTACTTTTCTCAACATTTTATTTCTTACCTTTTTTTCCAAAAAGCAATGGTTGACCGGCCAACTGGTCCAAGCTTTGAACAAAAGAAACAAAGTTGCGCTGCCAAGGGATTTTCTCTCTACCTCATGATGAGCCGGCCATACGAGCAAGTCGTGTGGGTGCCAGGAGCTCCCTGGATCAATCACCTTCTGGCGTGGAAGCGCAACCTACAGGCATTGTTGTTGTTGTTTTAGGTTTTGCCTGGTTTTCTATTAGTTTCAGTGATTTTTTTTTTGCAGAACACAATTGTGCTTCTCAAAAAAGAAAAAAAAGCAGTTTGTGATTGTTCGTCTCTGGGCTGCAGTATCATTGGCCCTGCCTCTTGCAGCAGTGGGCGGTCGTCTGATGGTAGAGGGAGGAGGGAGCGACGTGATAAGTGTGATGGCGACGGCATAAACCTAGGGGGATACAAGTAGTCACCCACGTGGGTTATCCTTCTTTTCAAAAAAAGTAGTCACCCACGTTTCACAACAATTGTTGATGGTCTCAGGCATTGCTCGCGGCAACTGTCACACCCATTGGCAAAGCTAGGCAACAATCTAAACATAGCAGTCCCCAAATAATTTTCTTCATGTTTTTAATCAAAGTTGGGGGGCCATGGCCCCTGCAGCAACTGTCAC